ATTTTATCAACCATAACATAAGTCAGATAAATAAATGGATTTTGAGAAGAGATTTAAATGTCATGATGGAAGTTGCATGTTTGATGTGTAATGGGATGTTATTCCAGTTGATTGGAGAAGCAAATGAAAAAGCACAATTGCCATATGGCTGTGTGAATGCTTTAAGGGTATGAAGAAGCCCTTTAGTGCTAGAACGTAATGTTCGCTTGGTGGAGTGATCTTGTATTAAGCATGTGATGTAATGTGGTACGTTGTTATACCTGGACTTATATGTAATCAAAAGAATCTTGAAAATGATCCGTTGATGAACGGGCAGCCAGTGGAGTGAATGAAGAATTGGGGTTACTCATGGCGTCTGGTTTTTGTAACCAGTCTTGCAGTCGTGTTCTGTATGCGTTGGAGCTTGTTAATCTCAGATTTTGGAAGACCATAAAAGAGACTGTTACAATAGTCTAAACGTGAGGTAACAAAGGCATGAATAACTTTTTTCGTTGTTGCTTGATCTAGATATTTCCTAATTGAGCTTATTTGACGTAATGCCCTAAGAGAAGACTGACAAATGTTCACATGTTCCTTCGTGCCCAAAGTATTGTCTAACTTTACACCAAGGTTTCGGACAGATTGACTTGCTGATATAGTCGTATTCCCTATAATGACAGTTTGAATCGTTGACACGTTTTTATTAAAACGTGAGGTGAAGTGAATGAACTTAGTTTTACTCTCATTGAGGAAGAGATGATTCGAATAAGCTTATAATTTTATGTGTTGGATGCATGTGATGACCTTTTTAAGTGCAAGACTTCTATTGGAATGCGAACAGGTGGTGTACAATTGTACATCATCTGCATATACCATGCATTCTACTCCATGTGACTCAGCAATTATACGTATAATGGGTACTGAGTACATAATAAAGAGTAGTGGCCCCAGTACAGACCCTTGGTGTACACCACAGGTAACGTCATGTGATCGAGATGACACATTGCCCAACATAACCAATTGAGCCATACCAGTTAAAAACGACATCAGCCACCTATGTGCACATCCACTAATACCGAAGTCAGATGTAAGCCTTTGAGACATTATACCATGATCTACGGTATCAAAGGCAGATGAGAAATCCCAAAGGAAGAGGAGAGTCTCCTGCTTCTTATCTAAAGTGTTCAGTATATCATCCTTCACTTTCATAAGTGCCGTTTCTGTACTGTGATTTGAGCGATAAGCAGATTGACGACTTGGAAGAAGGTCATTTTCCTGAAGGTAAGTTTGGATTTGCATACTTAGAAGACGTCATGGCTAGTGCTGAGTCTATTAGTACTCCTATATTGCGAGTGCTAAGTGATGGTTTCATT